GCAGTTTAGGCGCACGGCTTGCTTTTGGTTTGATACCTTCGTAGGCCAGGAATGCCGAGGAATGCATGACATACGAAGATATCACACCGATGTGATATTTTCGTACGCCAGTAATATTCCGGCCTTCATGGCCTACGAAGATATCAAGCCGAAGGCGAGCCGTGGAGGCGAACTGCTACAGCGGACAATCCTGTCCAGCCGCCACCGCCGCCATGACGCTGGCAACGATGCTGACGACCAACACACCGAACACCAACACGGCCAAGCAACGTGGAAGCAATAGGTGGTGTGCAGAGGCGATGTCGCTTCCAACGGCGCTCGTATGCTGGATAGGGTATGGGTGGTGGAGAGGAACGGCCCGAGTCGGCACTCGGACAGCAACATCGTCAAACAGATTCTGAGTTTGCGTGGCCTCAGGAAAGACGACACTGCCGTCCGCGTCCCACTCGGGCCGTTCTTCTTCACCAACCATAGCCTATAGAGCAAGCGCAGGTGATTACAATATGTGCCATACATGCGGATGGGCGGACATTGGTCGATCACAGGATCAGTATCGTGTGGGAAGCTGGCGCTGCCGAAGAAGTCGTCATTGTCATGCAGCAGTTACCGAACTATGACGAGTACTTCGGCAGTGCCAGCTTTGCAGACGATAGTGACCATGTGGCGTACGCTGCATACGACTGCTTAGACGCTGACGTTCGCCGCACAGGTATGCAGGGTAGCGCAGGTAAAAGCGCACGGTGCACGAGCACTTGCGTTGTCCGCTGAGGCAGTGGCGTTGTTTTGGTACGGCACCGACGCAGCCCATCACACACACACACACACACACCACCACACCCACCTGCGAATGGCTGCTGTGCAGGCCTTCCGGACGCAAGTTCTATCGGGTTACTGACCCGGTACGACTTGGATCCAGAAGGACTGGACAGCAGCCACCCGCAGGTATGCGTGTGTGGTGGTGGGCAGGGGGGGAGTGGGAGTTTTGCATGCATAGGTACCGTATCATAACAACGCCACCGGCTCAACGGTTAGTGTTAATTAGGTATGCGACGAAACCGCTGTTGGTGTACCACATAGGCATTGTAACGTACGACTGCAAAGTGTACGTGGGCTCGCCGGTGTATGCCATGCATGGTGCATTGAAGAGGGCACGGAGCACGAACGTGTGCACTGTCCGCTGAGGCAGTGGTGTTATCATCATTAAATTATAAATGTTTTATACAGTTTTAATATTAAATACAGTCTCCAGCTGCGTCGGGGACTGTACAGCCTGTGCCGGTGGTACAGTTTCGAGGTAATGTGTCGGTGTATATAAGGGCAGAAATGACGGTGCATTCAAAAGTGTACGGAGCATGAACGTTTGCGGCATCCGCCGAGGCAGTGGCGTTATTATGGTACGGGACTGATACAGTGCATCACATATACACCACACCGGGCTACACCACACCGACCTGCTGTCCAGTCGTTCTGGATGAAAGTCACACGGGGTCAGTAACCCGGTAAGGTGTGGACCCGGACGGTGTGGACCCGAGTCTTACCGGGGGGGCAGGGAGGGAGTTTTGCGTGCGTCGGTAGCATACCATAATAATACCACGTGTTGGTGCGGGCATCATTGTCATCATGGCGGCGGCATTTGCTATGCGCGTGCGAATCGGGCCTTCCGTCTAGACCAAACAGAGTGTATCCGCTAGGCCCATGTGAACACATACGCACCTGCCATACACAGTAGAGCCGCTGCAGGCAAGATGCATTTCGAATGGACGGACGAACGGTAAGATCCGTGGTTCCGGATGTGTTAGCGAAGGGGACTGCAGACACACGGCAGCGGCAATCCGGGAGGGATGACAGACAGTCAGACGGTCAGACGGAAGAGCGTGGGTGCAGTCATACGGTCAACACGGAGTGATAGGGGGGCGGGTACTAGTACGGCCATGATAACGTGGGCGAAGGAGGACCGAGAGGGGGCGGAGGTTGGACCGGGAACATACCTGTCGAGTGCATGGTGAATAGCAGAAGCCGTGGTGCCTGCACGGTCGCGCGATCGGCAGCAGCCATGCGGCGGTGCTGGCTGCTTGGCGACAGGACGGTGTACTGGCACGACATCCGTCGTGGCGACGTGCTGCTGCGGCGCTCGTACATCGCGTCCGTGTGTTACTAGGGCCCTCGTCGTCGACCAAGCAGAGCCCATACCGCATGACATGCCATGGGTGGACAGCGGTGACAACATGTTAGAAAGGAACGGGATATATACAATACACAAACGGCTGGAAACGTGTGTTAGTGCAGGGGACTGCAGACACACGGCAGCGGCAATCCGGAAGGGAGGTTAGACAGTCAGACGGTCAGACGGAATAGTGCAGGTGCAATCATACGGGCAACATGGAGTGACATGGGGGCGGATACTAGTACGGTCACGACGAGGACCGAAAGGGGGCGGAAGCCGGGCCGGGAGCATACCTGTCGAGTGCATGGTGAATGGCAGAAGCCGCATTGCCTGCATGGTAGCGCGATCGGCAGCAGCCAGCAGCGCCGCATAGGCGGCAGGACGGTGTACTGGCACGACATCCGTTGTGGCAACGTGCAGCTGTGGCGGCCGAAATGTGGATCCAGTGGCACTCGTACGTCGCGTCCGTGTGTTATTAGGGCCCTCGTTGTCGATCAAGCAGAGTACCCATCGCAGGACCTGCGATGGGTGGACAGCGGTGACAACATGTTCGAAAGGAACGGGATATATGCAACACATAAACGGCCGGAGACGGCAAAGGCAGCGGTACGGGAATAGGTACACATGGCACCATAGCAGTGTACGTGGAGTATCACAACTGCCAACACTGGATACACGACCGCCGTGCGGAAATAGAGACTGGCGGTGAAGAGCTGCCGAAGGGTGTCGAAGAGGCATGGAGGCACGCTAGCACGATCACATATGTACCTGCTCTACAGGCCAGAGCTGCTTCAGGCAATAGGCATTTCGAACGGACAGACGAGCAGTAACATCGATGGATGGGACCCCGTATGTGGCAGCGCAGGAGACTGCAGACAGACGGCAGCGGCAATCCGGAAGGAATGACAGACAGTCAGACGGTGAGACGGAATAGCGTGGGTGCAATCATATAACACGGAGTGACAGGGGGGCGTGTATTTATAATTTAGACACAAGACTGCGCGGGCAGTGCATCGTATCGCACCACATCTGATGCGCCGACACATACGGACGCCAACTCGTTGCACACCTACCACGCGCGATGGAGACCTTGCAGAAAAAGCAGACGGAATAGCGCAGGTGCAATCATACGGGCAACATGGAGTGACATGGGGGCGGATACTAGTACGGTCACGACGAGGACCGAAAGGGGGCGGAAGTCGGGCCGGGAGCATACCTGTCAAGCGCATGGTGAATGGCAGAAGCCGCGGTGCCTGCATGGTCGCGCGATCGGCAGCAGCCAGCACCGCCGTATAGGCGGCGGGACGGTGTACTGGCACGACATCCGTAGTGGGGACGTGCAGCTGTGGCGGCCGAAATGTGGATCCAGTGGCACTCGTACATCGCGTCCGTGTGTTATTAGGGCCATCGTTGTCGATGAAGCAGAGTATACGTCGCAGGACCTGCGATGGGTGGACAGCGGTGACAACATGTTCGAAAGGAACGGGATATATGCAACACATGAACGGCCGGAGACGGCAAAGGCAGCGGTACGGGAATAGGTACACATGGCACCATAGCAGCGTACGTGGAGTATCACAACTGCCAACATGGGATACACGACCGCCGTGCAGAAATAGAGACTGGCGGTGAAGAGCTGCCGAAGGGTGTCGAAGAGGCATGGAGGCACGCTAACACGATCACATATGTACCTGCTATACACGCCAGAGCCGCTTCAGGCAATAGGCATTTCGAACGGACAGAGGAGCGGTAACATCGACGGATGGGACCCCGTATGTGTCAGCGCAGGAGACTGCAGACAGACGGCAGCGGCAATCCGGAAGGAATGACAGACAGTCAGACGGTCAGACGGAATAGCGTGGGTGCAATCATGCAACACGGAGTGACAAGGGGGCGTGTATTTATAATTTAGACACAAGACTGCGTGGGCAGTGCATCGTATCGCAGCACATCTGATGCGCCGACAGATACGGACGCCAACTCGTTGCACACTTACCATGCGCAATGTAGACCTTGCAGAAAAAGCTCGGCATGGAAATGCTCGGCAACCACGATGCACGCAAATATGCGATGCATTGCAGCGGCGATGCGTGACGGTCGTGCAGAAGCAGGGCCGGATATCGCGAAAACTCGCTATGTCGAAAAAACAAGATAAATAATAAGCAGCAAGACGAACACCGGTAATACAGACTATTTATCGCGGCCGTGAAGCAATTGCTTAGACATGCAATATACATACATCCTAAATAAATAGCAACATAAAACATGTACAAGGAGAACTGACATAAAATAGTTTGCGCGTGCATAAAAAGAAACGACACCAAAGTTGTCGTACACGCCTAAACGCGATGTGATTCCGCGGACATCGTGCACACGTCTGCGTGGACATCGTCACAACGACGAGTCGCTATGTCGCAGTAAAGGACGTATGTAAACAAAAAAGAGAACCGACACAGAACGAGTTCATGCAAAACAATGCATGTCGTACAGTTGCCGACACGGTGTGGTGGGACGGACAAGCGGTAATGTGCCGACGCACATACACGTGGTTTGCATCACAACGCACACTCACCGCGCCTACTGGAAGCCTTGCCGGAGCAGCAGCTTCAACGCATGCGAACCTGCACGACAGTGTGAAGGTCGCGAGGAGACAAGCCCGGAACTCGTCATGTCCAATTCGTTATGTCCAACCATCATGTACACGAGTCGCATGCGTACAGCAGAGCATGCTGCAGGGAGAGCGGGCAAGCGGCGAGAGGCGGATAGGAATGGGACACGTACGAATGTCAACACGGTGCTTGAAGACCCTAAATTATACCAGCGAAACCGGTTATACCGTACATATACTCACCAGTGTAGGTGCGAGGGACGCCGCCAACTTGTGTGGGAGTCGAACCCACAAGTGCACAGAATGCACCCAGCCCTGCAAGCGTGTCGTTGCGCGGCTAGACCGCCGTTCAACGCTGGCATTTAACGCCATCCAGGGGCGGCTAGATGGAAGTGTGTGTGTGTGTTACATGGTTGGGGGGTGCGTGACCCCATACCTGTAAGACTACCCATACGAGCCGAGGGCCCAAGGGCAATACTACAACGCCTAAAAGCCACGGAGAAAAAGGAAAAAAACACCGCACATCAGCCCAGACTAACGTCCAAAGGGGGTAATTGAGTTTCGGTGAGCCCACATACGTTCCAACATCCTCGCCAGACGTGCGGGTTCCCATTGCATGGCCTCCAACATACTCTGTTGATGATCGAATCCCTCTTCAGCACGAATATCATTATAGGCTGGGCATTCCAATAACACGTGTTTTTCATCCTCAAGATGGAAGTGAAGAGAGGGGACAGGTGCAAGGCATAGTGAAATTGGACGACGTGTAGTGGACGGCAGCGCAAGTGGATGAACACCCAATAACGAGTCATTCCTGCAGAGCTGTGATAAACGTTGTTCGACCTTCTGTCTTGGTGGTGATGGTACCGGTGACGGTGAATGAGTCGTAAGCAGCGTACACCATACGATCATTATCGTCTGCGAAGCTGGCGCTGCCGAAGAACTCGTCGTAGTTCGGTAACTGTTGCATGACGGCGATGCTGTCGGTGCACACCGGATAACTGCGGCTGCCGATTGTGAGGACGAGCGGGAGGACCGGTAGTGAGCCGACTACAGTGACAGAAGTGGGGTTGGGTGACAGGGTGGCCGAGGCGTGTGGACCATCCAACGGTAAAACAAGGGCACTGCGGCTACACTGCTCCCAAGCCAATACCATATCAGTTGTGTCGGCGGGCACGGTGGCCGCGGTAGTTCGCTGAACAGCCGCCTGGAAGGTGTGCACTCGTTTGGGAGGGCGTTTGCCGGGGGCAGTCGCTGCTGCTACAAGCGAGCCGCTGAGGAAGACACTATTCATATAAGCTTTGCTATTGGAGGGGCTGATCTTGGCACCATACACGTAAAGGGGCGTGCTGCTATCGGCCGCTGCTTGTAGCTGAGCGACGAAGTCGTCGGGAGCGGATTCTCTGATGGCGAGCTCCACGTGTCTGGCGTCGGGACTGTCACCGTTGCCGCACGCGACCCACGCCTTAAACTTGCGGAACGGCCCGCCCCGGAACATCCCGCCGTGTGGGATGAGCAGGAGGGCGCTGCCATCCGACGCGTGCTTGTCTTCGGGGCGGGCCCTGTCGCTGCCGACATCGTAAACGGGGAACCGAAGCCTGGCGCTGTAGAGCATTGGGACAGCGGAGGAGGGCTCCACGGAAATCCGCGTCGCTGAGGAGGCTTTAAACTGCCCCACCGTCACCCCAGCGAAACGAGAAGTTATGAAAGGCGGCAGGGAAGCTGCATCCATGTTGGCGAACATCACGCGGTGGCCGAACGCGTGGCTGCTCTCCAGCCTGCCGAGGATGACATCGTCAATCTGCATAATTACTATCCCCTGGCCGGCGGTATTCACACCAGCGATGAAGCTGCCGTAGCGGCTCTGGGCGCCGGCAAAGAGGCGGTCCTCATTCGTTTCTGTGGGGCCGGCCGTAAACGTCACATTGCAATACCCGCTCAGCCTCTGTATCGTATATAAAAAAAAAAACCGTATGCGTATACACGCGGTGCATAGCAGCGAGCCGACGTCTGTGATAAAATGATAAAAACAGCTTCACAAAATGCCGTACAGCCCACGCGGACAAATTTGGACAACCGCTGATGTGCAGTTCGTCGCGTTTCATACACATCGCTGAAGTACGCGTTGAATTGCGTTGAATTGCAATTCAATGTGCTTAATTGCAGGTTGAATTGCATGTTGAGTTGTGCGGTGGGCTGTACGTTGAATTGCGCGAAGCGCAACGCATCAAATTGTACGGTACAGTGCGGCCAATGTTTTGTGATTTGCGCGCTCAATCGTGGCACGGTGCGGCCGCGGCGCGGTGCGGTGCGGTGCGGTGCACGGTCCGGAACGGAAAAAAACAAAACACACGCGGGCGCCGGGATCGAACCGGTGACCGCTTCCTCCCACACGGTGCGGGAGCTAGCGCACACCACGAACCGGTGCGTGGCGATGTTCTGAAGCGCATTCCACAGACCCAGGTGTGGTGCAATGCGATGCGTCGCGGTGCGGCGCGGTGCCGTGCGGTGCGAAAAAACGAAAAAAAGCGACGACGGCGGGGCGCGAACCGGCGACCGCGGCTCCCAAGCGGCGACGGAGCTAGCGAAAAAGACGCAGCTCCGAAACCGCGAACGACACGGCGAAAAAGGCCAACTCTCCAGAGGCTCGACCAGACGGACGGACAGACTAGACGCGGGCTGCGTCGCCCGCGAGGGGGCCGTAGTCCCCCGGCTGGGCGGCAGGAGTACGACGGTCCGTGCGTGTACTACACCCGTGTGGGAGTCGAACTCACAAGTGCAAGGGATGCACGAAGGGGAGCATCGTTGTCGTCATGACGCGTGAGTACACGGTGAGTACCCGGGTGGGCGGCAGGAGTATGACGGAGCGTGCGTATACTTGTAGTACACCCGTGTGGGAGTCGAACCCACAAGTGCAAGGGATGCACCCAGCCGTGCGGGCGTGTCGTCGGACGGCTAGAGAGCCGTGCAACGCTGGCATTTAACGCCATCCAGTGGCGAGGCAGACGAACTGTTTTACGTGTCAGGTGGTGTTGGCTGCGGAGGTCCAACGCTCCTCTAGGTTTCTGGCGTGTTTGTACTCGGCGTGCGTGCGTGCGTGCGTGCGTGCGTGCGTGCGAGCGTGCGTATACTTGTAGTACACCCGTGTGGGAGTCGAACCCACAAGTGCAAGGGATGCACCCAGCCGTGCGGGCGTGTCGTCGGACGGCTAGAGAGCCGTGCAACGCTGGCATTTAACGCCATCCAGTGGCGAGGCAGACGAACTGTTTTACGTGGCCGTATGCATCAATCAAATCAGCGAACAATGCCTATCACGTAAGCATTGTTATGTACGATTGCAAAGTGTATGTAGGCTTGCCGGTGTATGCCATGACATGCGTCGATGCATAACCTGTTATGCCCCGTCATCGTGTCGAAGCTCGACCAACGAAATCGTAGAATCGCCTGCAGCAGCGTCGGAGACTGTAGACCTTGTGCCGGTCCTAGAAT